CACCAGTAACTAATGCAGAAGCAAAGTAGTGATGTGCAATTTGTTTGCATTCATTTAGATGCTGTTCTTAACTAAGGTAGTACAACCCCAATCTGATTCTGAGGCATAGAGCAATATCTTGATCTATGTTCCTTGGCTATGTTGCTGATTAGTGTAAATCTAGTCTCTGGCAGATGCCTATCAACATCACGAAAAGCGGTACACGACCCTGACTCTCTTGTGAGGCACTTCAGCTTCTGCTCTTTCCCCAAAAAGTTTTGCAAGGTTTAGTGATTAATATTTGTGCAAGGTTTGAAAAGCCTTGGATTAAAGGTTCTATATACCAACATTTTTTATCAAGTACTACTTTTAAATATATGTATATATATACATAAAGTACCCACAGTACCTACAGTTTTCAGACACACACAAAATTTTTCTACCATTGCAACACATTCGCTTAAACAACTTAAACGTAGCCGGGCGGGCGATGACATTTTTGGGTGTAAAAAGTACAAAAATAATAAAGCGCTGTAAAACTTAAAACAAAAATTCAGTTTTCTCCAAATTTCAGTTGTGTTGATGCACCCCACCAAGACTTCTCTCAAGTACCCCACGGGTACTCGTACCACTGGTTGAGAAACGCTGCTATATACATCCAAAAGTGTATTAATTACATCAGTAGCAGTAGCAGTTTTTGAAGAGATGAAGGACTAGTTGAGCATGGAGACTGAATTCATGTATCTCACTGCTTTCAGTGGATTTACTCAGGTGCCATAGTATTGGAATCAGGTGCTCTGTTTATTCTCTTCATTAAGCCGTGATTTATTATTATTATTATTATTTATTTTATTTATTAATTCAAGTTATAAGGTGAAATATGTAAATCTAAAGCCAATCTCTGAATTAACACATTAAACAGGTAACGTTGCACTTGATTTTTGTGGTGCACCTAAGGGACTCTCATTTTAAATCCTGCTTGAGGCTGCTTCTAAGAGGGGAAACACACATTCATCAGGAAGCAATTATTATAGACACTGCTGTAATTCTGATCCCCTTATTAGTGTAGCAATTGGCATAACAGAAATTCTACATACAGGGGTTTGAGCTTATGTGCCATTAAGGCATCCGAAGAAGTGAAAAACCTTAACTGCCTTACTCATCCAAGCAAATGCCACCTCTGTTTTTTGCATATTTCCAGTGCCCTCAGCCTAAACTTTAGAAGGGAAGAACTTGCTTAAAGGTGTTTACCATGGGTGTATCAACCCTGCACTGAAACTGATGGAGTTACGTTGGCCCAACTGGCAGAGAAAGCCCCACCTCCACAGCCCTGCTGGGCATGCTCCAACTGGAGACTGACTATAAAGACTTCTAGGAAGTAGCCCAGGGCGGGGGGAATTGTTCCCTGAGTGCTCAGTGTGTTGCAGCAGGATTCCCTGCTGAGCGAATAGTGGACCATGCCACTGCCAACAGGGCCCTGGACTGAGACCTGGTGGAGAGGGAGGGCCTACCTCCTCTGTACATACCCCCACATGGGGGGAGTTTTACCACAGCTGTATGGACTTTGGTTGCCAGGCTGTAATACCCTGACTAGAGGGGCTTATACATGTACTAAGGCCACTGGACTGTATTACTGTACAGAGGGGGACTTGTGTATATTGACTGAGGCTGCTGGGTCCTAATACCCTGAATACAGAAGCATGTATATTGACAGAGACCACTAGGCTGTAATACCCTTAATACAAGGGCTGAGATGCTGGGCCATAATACCCTGCATGCAGGGATGAGTATGTAGTCTAAGGCCACTGGGCTGTAATACCCTGGATGCAGGGTTGGACTTATGGATTGAGGCTGCTGGACCATAACACCCTGGGTAAAGGTTTATATTGATTGAAGCTATTGGGCCGTGCTGTAAATAGTCTCGGTGATTGTGAGGTCACTCAACCAAGAGAATAAAGTTGAGGAGCCTACGGGGGCCTGTTACATCTCCACGAGGTATAGTAAAAGCGCTGCATGTCAGTTGCACCACAATAAGAGCAGAGACCTTTTAGGGACATGAATCCTTAATTTGTGTCCCCTTCCACTTGACTCATGCCAAATGTGGTACTTTTTGCTAGACATCACCCACAGGGTTCTGAATTTCCCACATCCCTTCTAAGGAATGATGCAACTACTGTAAATCAAGCTAGGACCCAAGTGAATCTCACTTCCAGTGCAAGGGAAGGGTCAAGATTCACCAACCTTTTTGGCAACTTGCTGAAGTAAGAGCTAAACTCATGGTGATTCTATCATTTCAATTCCTACAGCCTAGCCATCTCCCTTGGGGGAGGGAAAAGAAACGTCTCCTCAAATAAAACCAGGTTGTGTGAGTTGAAGTGTTCACTCAAGAAAGCCATGACAATAGAATCGAAAAGCAATTAAAATAAAGCTTCTGAAGCTATCATTCCCTATTGCTCCTTATCCTTCCCTTGGTTTAAAAAACAGCTTCTCTGTAGATTTGTATGGTTTACAGAATACATCTGGCAAGATCTCCCCAGCATCTTACACACATTGCAACATGTGTTGCATTGTCATTAAAACACATGACTTTACAGCCATATGGTTTACAAAGACTCAGAGTTTTCATCAGCCAGCACCACCGCTTACTAATATTGAGCCTCTCCAAGAGCGGGTTCTGTCACTATCTCTAGCACAGCAGCCTCAGCCCTGCTTTGATTATTCTGGCAGTCTGGGGTCACCAAGCTGTAGCCTTGTCTTGACATCTGCTTGCCCCAGCATGCAGGTGGTAAAAACAGAGTCGCTACACCACCACCTAGGGAATCCCTCAGCAAGGTGGGCAAGCTGACTTGAAAGTCCCTAGCTGTGACAGAGTGGTACAAGGGCATAGTTTGCCTCGGTATGAAATTCCTTGGCTGGCATGCATGAATATAGAATTTGGGCTGTGCAGAGTGATAAGTGCATGTGACTCCATTGAAAAGTTGTCTGTTTAAGTTTGTGAAAAATGTAGGGCAGGCTCAGTCCTCAATCCCATCCCTCCTCAATGCTCCATCCACCTGTTTTCTGCCCACTCCATGTGGAGAACAAAGTCCATCCTTTCTCCAAGAGTCAAGCTTATTGCCATTAAAGAACATGGGTACAGCACACATTCTTGGTGACAAGCCATCCAGACTGAGAGCAACCTATTGTCCAAAGCATCACATTGTCCCCAATGCCATAGTTAGCAGCATTTCACTGTCTGGAGGGTGACATCATTTTTTACATGAATTGCTGTGTTGATTGGTTTGGGGGTTGTTTTTCTCTTTTCTTATTGCTAGAGCTGTATGTGAACACTTTTTTTTTGTCTTATTCCCTTGGTGTTGTAGCAGGTCCAGACATCACCTGTCATTTGCAGGAACATCCCCTTGGCTCCTGCAGTATATTTACATCATCTCACAAATAGCAATTCATAATGGGTGTGTTTGTTACTTTTCCTTTTAATTATTGCAATAGAACTGAACATGGCCCATGGTCCATTGGTAGTCCCCAGCAACTGCTACACCTCTGTAGCTCCCGCAGGAGTATGGCCTGTTTTAGCAACTTGACTAATGCCTGAGTAGGCTTGCCAGATGCTTTCACCAGAAATCCCGAAAATGGCAGGAAAAACTTGGTTGAAGAAAAAAAGCCAGGAGACAAAAGTTGTGGAGCAAAAAAAAAAAAAAGTTGCTGCACCTTTAAGAATTCCCATGCTCCTCATTTCTCCCTCCCTCCCTCCTTCTCCCCCTTCCTCCCGCTGGCCTTCCATCTGAGAAAAACAGAAAATACCGGACATTTTAAATGTCTGGTATTTTCTGTGGGTTTTTTTACCGGGCAGGGGCCAGAAATAACGGACTGTCCAGGCAAAAAAAACCCGACACCTGGCAACCCTATGCCTGAGGGGACACAAATCGAGTGAGAAGTGAATTATTAGTAAGGCTTGAAGATGGGTGTATACTAAACAGTTGGTCTAAATCCAAGTGTAAGATCTGTAGACCTGATAATCTTCCAACACTGGCTCAGGAGGAGCACAAATAAAGCGTCACTAGTTTAAGGCTAATGAGAGAAATCTTACAGGTGGCTTTATATTAACTTCTATAAAGTCATATTTTTGGCAGGACTGCTGAAAAACGTCACTGCACTCAGTGGAATGGCCTTGAATAGAAGGGACACAACTTGGGGCTAACCAACCCTCAGTGCCATGCAGACTGGACTGCATTGGGCTCTGGCAGACATGTAAAGGCTACTGCGGTACCAGCCTGGAGTCCTGGGTTCTGGGGCAGCTGCCTCTTTGCTCTCCCTTCCCCTGTTTTCTGATTTGAGTTGGAATATGTAGAATTCTGGTACATTCTCTGTGCGACATGAATAGAGACTAGAGAACACAGTGCAGTCAGTGCTATATGAATGGTTTCTAGTGCGTTGCAGGAAGCAGGATTTCTCCACAGTCTTGGGTAAAGAACTTGAGTTGTGCCATAAATTTATTAGCCGCGTTTAGAGTGTGTCGCCGGCAGAGCTACTAATGGTAAACTTGCATAGTGAGCAAGTGACTCCAGTGGATTGTAAGTATTATATTAAGCAATTGTGGCTGTCTACTGGCCTGACCCAATTCCCATTGGAATCAAGGGAAACATTTCCATAGGCCTCCGCATGAGGTCGATTGGGACCTGAAACCTCATCCTGACTACCAATAACGGCTGCTGCAATCAGTGGGAATGGGAAACCAGTCAAGTTTTGCTCCAGGTTCAAGTATGTACAGTTAAATAGGAGGCAGACAACAGCAGTAAATTGGATCCCTGTGTGAGGGGTCATAGTGAAGCTAACAACAGGAAAACTAACATGTCCCTCTTAAAAGTCTGACATACAACTAATGGGACAGACTGGTATAGTAAAAGATATGACAAATAAATGAGGCCGGTCAAGTTGTTAAATAAATTTTTAATCAACTTTGTTCTAATCCTGCAATGCAAATGGGCATTTATATCGGGTCTTTATCATTTCTTTTTATTTAGGATTATTCATGAAGATGGTTTCTCTGGAGAAGACGTGAAGCAGTACAAGCCTGTGGTCTATAGCAACACTATTCAGTCACTGGCAGCAATTGTCCGTGCCATGGATACCTTGGGCATTGAATATGGTGATAAGGAGCGACGGGTAGGTCAATATCCAATTGCAATGATAAGACCGTAAGATTTTGAATGAGCTGATTTGGAGGAACAACTAGAGATTATATAATATGAGAAGAGGCATAGTTGCATAATCCAAACACATCTAGGGGAAGGTTTTCAAACACGAGTTGTACCATTGTGAGACTGCTTTGATTCGTTTGGGTGCACATTGCATGTTCAAATGGTAAATGAAATAGATTTGCACATGCAGTTAACATGCACATGCATTTGTGGTAATCACGAGCACAACTGCCTATTGAAAGAATGTGAAAATCAGGCCAAAGGTGCTTCTATATTACAAAAATCAGCTGTTTATGGACATGGTAGTATCTGGTGTCTTTTTTACAGATCACAAATAGGTTCCTACTTTAGTAAACAAAGTCATGGTAACAGTAAAGTGGATATTTTCTATCCATCAGGAGTCTGCTTCAGGCAAAATTCCAAATATATCACAGAGAAATTTCTGCTAATGTTCAGGTATGTTCTTTGAGCCTTGTCTACATGGAAAACTTTTTTCGGAATAATTGTAGTTTTTGGTTTTTAGGATAAATGGCCCTGTAGCCACACACAAAATTTCTTTCTGTCTGTGTTGATGATGATGCATTAACAATCCACTTTGGAAGTGAAATCATTTCTGGAATGAGGGTGGTTTTTTTGTTTTTGTTTTTTAAGAATAAGGTTTGTGCAGAGGCATATGGCAGCTATATTTCAGATTAACTATTCCACTTCCAGCAGTCTTCCTGCTGCTGTCCTGCACTGCTTAGCTTCTCGCTTGGACTGGCATGTTTCTTTACCTGTGCGTACCCTACTGCCCTAGTCATTTGGCTCCAAAGACACTGCCTGGAAAGGAGGTCTGAATGCTGCTGTCTTTTCCAGAAGAAAACTAAACCCTGGTGATATTTTCTACTACGACTTACAGCTGAGAGACTGTATACTAATGGAATTCTCGTGAGCAGTATGAGAACCAACACAATAACTTTGCACTGAAAAGTATAATCTCTTTATTTGGTGAATCCGCTACAACCTATATAAATAGCTTCTTTGCACAGGGGGAAAAATCATTCTCCATGGCTGATGATAGTCTGTGACAGATGGCTTTAAATATAACATTTAATATTTTATACATGAAATCCTAATTCTCTGAAGTTAAACCCATCCCACTTAGATTCTGGCTTTGCCAACTAATGGAGGATCTCAGTAATCAGGACTATGATTAATGAAAAATTGCTGCCTGAAACCTTTGAATAGCATTAAAGGTTATGTCAGTTCCTATTCCTGCAGAGAAGATGCCAGCATGGAGAATTCCTGTTACAACAAGGAGACTTTGATTGGATGTTTTAAAACATGTTAGTTTTCCTCCTCCTCTCCTAGAAAACCAAACACAGGGCCCAGCTCCTAATTTCAGATTTAGAAGCACTTGTGTAGGGTTTTAAAAATATAAAATCCCATCTCTTCCCCTGAATCACATGGGGGATAAGGCAAAATACCACACTGTGATAACGTAACATTATTCTGGAATATGCATATAGTATACTAAACCCACATACTGTACTTAGACACACACACAGTCTTGTTCATAGTTAGTAATCTGTTGCTCTCATTTATTCACTGGCCAGGCAAGTTAAATGTAAGGAGGAGAGAGGAGTGGGGCTTTTTCAAGCGTTGATCAGCTGAGACCCAAAAAGTCATGCAAGACACACCATCTTTTATAGGACTTCTCTCCCATTCAGATCTATTCATCTTGCTCTGTCAACTTTTAATAGTTTTAATCAGTTTATGTAACACCTGCTTATCTGGAAGTTGTTTTTCTTTTTCATCTGACATCAGTCTGTTGGTGCGTCTTGCCTGGTGTCATTCCAAGGCAATTGTTGGCTCTAACTCCAAGGCCATCTACAGCAGTCTGCCTTACAACAGGCCCATTTGATAGTATCTTAGCACCCCTGAGTCTTCTGGCTTTTTCTCCCCCTTGTTTGACCATGTGGATGCTGAACTGCTGAGCCTTCAAGTTATCTATCTTCAATCACTCACATTCCACACTCATTCACTACTTCCACAGCAACTACATAATTGTTTTACATAGGCAAAGGGACTGTAATACAAAACTTCTATTAGTACCACATTTCAATCATTTTCGTGTTTTCTTTACTACCACCTGTATTATAATTCCTTCTAAGAGCACAATTGTGATCATGCTGGGTCACAAGGACCCTTCTGATCTCTTTCTGCCTTGACATCTGATGCATTTTTACCAATAGCCTAAAAGACTGTTCCTCCCTGCTAACCCAGGGTGGCCGGCAGAATGATTGTTGCTTAACATTTATTCTCACTTTAGCCATTACACTACATCTGTTTAATCTATCATTAAGCCACATTGCACAAGACATTATTACATTATCAAAGTCTGTCTACATATGGACCATCCCTCCTGTTCTTCCTGCTTCCAGGAAAGTGCCATGATGATGAGAAGCGAAGGTTTGCTTGGATTGGTGCGAACTCCCCTTCCCTTGCCATTCTGGGCTAAATTTTTAATGAAAGCCTGTGAACTCACACAGACTCAGTGGCTGTGTCTACACTGGCATGAATTTCCGGAACTGCTTAAAACGGAATACTATTCCATTTTCAGTTTTTCCAGAAAAGGAGCATCTACATTGACAGGCTGCTTTTCCGGAAAAGCCCTTTTTCCGGAAAAGCGTCTGTGGCCAATGTAGACACGCTTTTCCAGAAAAGAGCCCCGATCGCCATTTTCGCGATCGGGGCTTTTTTCCGGAAAAGACCACTGGGCTGTCTACACTGGCCCTTTTCCGGAACACTGTTCCAGAATAAGGACTTATGCCTGAGCGGGAGCAGAATAGTTTTTCCGGAATAGCGGCTGATTTTGTACAGTAGAGCATCTTTGCTTTTCCGGAAATTCAAGGGCCAGTGTAGACAGCTCGCAGCTTATTCCAGAAAAGCGGCTGATTTTCTGGAATAAGTGGCCCAGTGTAGACACAGCCAGTGTGAATGCACAATCTAAATGGTGTGTACACAAATGTAGAGGCAGGTGTGACACCTAGGGCTTGGGATTCTTTAAGTTTTCAATGCATGTCCCACTCCCATTGTACTAAAAGCCAAATCTTGGCAGCCTTTACTCACCCAAAGGCTATGTCTGCACTGGCGGGTTATTGTGCAAGTACGGCCATTCTTGCGCAAGAATCCGCAGAGCATCTACACTGCCCGCCCGCTCTTGTGCAAGGAAATTTACAGTACAGCATGATAAGAGACAGCTCCTTGCACAAGAGCTATGCAGGAGCTCTTGCGCAAGAGGGCAGTGAGAACACTCGGCAGGGATTTCTTGCGCAAGAAACCCCTATGGCTAAAATGGCCATCAGAGCTTTCTTGCGCAAAAGTGTCTCCACACTGCCATGGATGTTCTTGCGCAAAAGCACAGCTCGCACATGGCAGTGTGGACGTTTTCTTGCGCAAGACTTCTTGCACAAGAACCCTTGTGCAAGATGTTCTTGCGCAAGAAGTCGCCAGTGTAGACATAGCCAAAATGTCCTTTGACTTCTAAGGTTCAGGGTTATAAAAACAGGGTTTGACCAATGTCAAATGTCAAATTTGACCAATGTCAAATGATCAATGCCAATGTACCCTCTGGGTACTAAGCTAATTCGAACTAACCGATCCAGACTAAAAAACTAGTTCGAATTAGCATTTTGCTAATTCAAACTAGCATGTCCACATTAAGTGGACCCTGAACCGGGCTTAAGGATGGCCGGAAGCAGTGCCATCAGGGCATCAGGTTAGGACTTAGAGCGTGGAGCTGCTGTCTCAGGCTAGCCGAGGGCTGTGCTTAAAGGGACCCGACCCCCACCCCGGACAGACAGTTCTCAGGGGTTCCCCGCTTGCAAAGCAGTCCTGGCTTGGAGTGCCCACACTCGGCACATCACAGCATTCGCCCATCAGCCCGGCTGCACTTGCCACAGGCTGCCATCTGGGGAGAGGGGGCAATCGGGGGGCTGCAGGAGAGCTTCCACCCCGAGGAGCCTGCAGAGCCAGCTCAGTCCTTCCC